GATGTGTTGTGATCACCTGGCCAGGCTGTGCATTTGTATATATATTTTTTTCTTTTCATGAAAAACTCTCATGGATTGTTGAGAAAGAACTTTCTGTTTTCCTTCCAGTGTAACGTTTTCTTTCTTTATAGTTCTTGTGATATGATCATTGCTACTTTACCATCCAAGCACATCAAGTCCCCCTGCTGTCTCTCAGTGCAGTGTAACCAGGGAGTAATATTTTGGGAAGCAAGGGACTAGCAGCCATCTCCTCCCACACCTTGAAAAGCAGGAGCTGTCTGCAGGCTTTCCCAGAAATGGCTCATCAGAAGCTTCAAACCACCACCACCAGCAGTTTTTAGCAGGCCAGAGACCCACAGGAGTCTCAGAGGCACGGCAAAAAGGAGAGGTGTTAGTCTGGCATTGCTTCTGTCTTGCAGAAGCATGTTCACACCCCCAGAGCCTCAAAAGGCAGCAGTTCTGTAACTAGGCGCAGGTTGGGGGAAGAGCACAGAAAGCAGAGGAGCTAACTGGGAAGTTAATATTAGTGATGATAGCCTGATGGTGACCTTTGCACTCAAACAACATCTGAATAGCGGTAATGAAATGGTGCAGATCGCTGTCTGAATTTTGCATCCTGGCCGTGGCGGGAAGCATTAGTGTTAGTGATTCAGTCACGAGTCCTGTGGCATTTGAAGGGCTGCTTGAGATCCCGTTCCCAAAGTCCAGAGATTAAGGAGTGATCTGGGTTTTCATGGGAAGTAATAAGAAGAAAGTGATGTTCCAGCCCTCGTGGTTGCAGAGAAAACTGTGAATATTAACAGAGTGCGCCCCGAGGGCTCACAAACCAGGCAAATAAAAAGAGTGATGACCTCCTTAAAAAGAACAAATACAACTGCTGATCTTTAGGGCAGTCGCGCTTTGGGTTACCATTGATTTATATACCCTTATGGCCTGTGTTCACCCTGAACAGCCTGTGAAGAGAGGGACGTTCCGTGGAGGGCTGGTTTTGGAGTAGCAGCTCCCAGAGGCTGTGCGATGCTTCAGGCCACCTGGAGGGTGGGAGCCCAGAGCGGGTCCTGTGGCCAGGGAGCCTCCGCTCAGGCAGAACGGGTCCCTCTGGCAGCATCAGCCCTTCCCGTGGCTTCCCAATGGGCCCGGTGGGCACACCGCCCATCTGAGCCAGGCACAGGCACCACCCAGCTTCCGTGACTTGGGTCCAGGTAACGTGGGGAAGGAGTCTCTGCCCATACAGGTTTATGGCGGTGGGGAGACTGGGTGGCCTTCGCTCCCTCTGGCGTCTGTCCAGTCTCCTGGCAGCCACCCCGCCACTGGGGGCCCTGGTGAACCCCGCTGCCCTCGAGAGCCATAACCACAGTGCTGCTGCAGTGAGGGAAGGTGGCTGGGGAGGCCCTTCCCACAGTGCTGGAGTGGGATGCTGGCCAGCTTGCCAGGAAGAGTTGCTGTCAGAAAGCGAGATGCAGCCAGTGGGAGCAGCATCCTCTGAGGGCTCGTGGTGGGCACCTCCGCCAAAGCTGGCTGCGAACGCTAGCAGAAAGAGCAGGGTCCTCGGGTCGGAGGTTGTGCCCAGCTGCGTCTTGGCTCCCTGTCCAGAAAGGACTTGGCCTCAGTCACAGAGGAAGGAAGAGGAGCTCCCAGTGAGTCAGCAAGGCACAGCTTTCAGTCATTTCTTGCAGGCACACGTCAAGTAGCAATGGCAGCTTGCTTACGCCCCCAGCAGATCTCACCCTCCAGATCCCTACTTTGTACATGAGAGGCCGGAGCTTCGCTGCCCATCCTGCCCTCTCCTCCCTCCCAACTCTTCCTAAACGTTTTGAAGCATGTGTTTGTGCATCTTCTTAGTCACTAGTGGGAAAGTCTTCCCAGGGGAGAGGTTGTTCTCCCACCATATGCTGACGGCATGTCTGGCACCATGAGTCCTCACCTCCACCAACAGCAGTGACATGTCTAAAAAGTAATGAGCATTTAAGCAAGCAACCGACTGTTTGTCTTCTTGTGAGATGTACGAACCTTTTTTTCCTCAGGGAATATTGTAATGTTTGCTCTGAAACACAGTCACACTGACTTCTCTTCTCTGGTTTACAGGAAGCGTTATCAGTGGTGAGTGAAGATCAGTCCTTGTTCGAGTGTGCCTACGGATCGCCGCACCTTGCGAAGACAGAGATGACAGCCTCCTCCTCCAGTGAATATGGGCAGACATCAAAGATGAGTCCGCGTGTTCCCCAGCAAGACTGGTTATCGCAGCCCCCGGCCAGAGTCACCATCAAGATGGAGTGTAACCCAAACCAGGTTAATGGGTCAAGGTAATAAGGCTAGTGTTTACCATGGCTCAAGTACACTTTTTCTTGTCATGGGTATAGCTCAGTTGTCTAAACCTGTGAATCTAGCACCATTTTAGATGCCTCAAGATATTCCATCTTGCCACCAGCTGCTTTCCCAGAAGCCTACAGGTCTCCTGTACATTGTGGGTCACACCTGCCAGCACCGTTCAGGTGTTACAGAGGGTCTCAAACAGTGCTACAAGCACAGTCTTCTCATGAGCTTGTGCAATACCTTTCTGTGTTTCCTTTGACTGTGGATAATTTTAAATGTGAACGTGCATTGCACACTAGGTGAAAGAGCATATATTAAAGTTAGCAAAGTACCACTTTGCTGAAGTCTGGTGCAGCACTATTGATCTATCTAAGGGTGTGACATTTGGGATCTCATACTCAATAGAAGTTGTCAAAATACTGTAATTTGGGCAGTTGCCTTTGCTCTGAATATAACCAAACAGAGAAGCATAGGAAGTAAATTCTTGTAATGGCAGAGGGAGTGAGTTACTGATCTTTACTTTCATATTTACTGTAAACATAGTGCCAAAAAGCATAACCATGGAGTCGGATTTAAGAAGGGCTCACACTGAAGAAAAAGCACATATATGGAGGGAAGCAGGGGACTAGAAAAGAACAGGAAAAGAAATTACTCAGCTCGGCAGTAGCCACAGCATGTCAGTGTATTAATTATTGTCTTGGGACTTTTTTCATGAAAGTCACTATGAAGGAGAATTGTATCGATTAAGCTGAAAGAGTAACGCAGTGGATCTGTGAATATTGACTGGTAGCACTTCGAAGCATAGAAGCACTCTATGGGATTTTTTCCATCTGAAAAAGCACAATGAAGATTTTTTTTTTTTTCAAGGAAACTATCCAAACAAGTGCTTTCCTGTTTAAAATGCCTGACTGTCAAAACAATTTTCCTTTGGTGTTGCTGAAGGGCAGACGTCCAGAGAGTCAGTTGCTCCCAATTGTTGGTGATGTACCGGGGGGGGGAATCTGTGCTTCACATCTCTCTGTCACAAACACCTGCCTACTAATCTCATCTCCCAGCATCAGTTGTTAAGAAAAACCTCAGCCATGGGCACTGTGGTTACTGTTCACACTTGCTGTGCTAACGTGGTGAGCACCACAAGCAGGGCAAAGTGGTTTGACAGCTTATCACACCTACGCTTCTCACTGGTAAGGATGAAAATTGTGCTGAAGTCAAATTAGAATTTCCAGTGAAAACTCAAAGATTTGAGATACGTAGAAATAAATGATGAACTGAAGTTACGAAGAATTAGGGGAAGTCTTCTTGTAAGCCTGCTTATTCAGAATTTATCCACAACCAATTTCAGTGAGCTTTTTCTTTTTTTTTTTTTTTTGCTAAGCAAATGCACAGATATTATCACAAATGGAGTATTGATTAAAAATCAATATTTCACTTGTTTCCTAAAATTACCTCTAAGTATTTGTGCTTGCATTTCTGTAAGAGAACTGATCACAGTTTTTCTCAGTGTAAATTTCATAAAGTGCATTAGAGTACATACTTAGTGTTAATTGTTACTGAGATTAGTGGTAATAATTTGCAACGTTGCACATGACTAAAGTCAGTCATATACAGAGTCCTACTTTTACATACTCCCAGATCTTAAGGAAGAGTCTAGATGATATAGATCCATTTGAAATTGTTGGTCAATCACATTTTTAAAATAATCAAGCCAGAATCCTGAATTTGCTGTCTTGGATTCCTGAAATACGTAACTAGCCTGAATATTATAGTTCAGTTTGTGAATCACAGGTATTTGTCTGTTGCTATGATGGTTGAGGGACTCTTATTAGATGAAACCTTGTCCTGTCTAATCCTTGTTAGCAACTCTGGTAAAGGTTATACTCCGATTTAGGAGGTCAGGACCCTTACCAAGACTGAAATGTGTGCCTGTAGTCAGATTAGCTCAATGGGGTCTCCAGGCAAACCCATATAGCCTGTGGGTGAGAGCACAGTACTTCTACACGCCAGCATGCCCCAAACCAGTGGAGACTGGTAGGAGCCCTGATTTGGGAACATAGACAGCTCTGGGCACTAAAGCCCCTGGCTCTGGCAGGGTCTGCCTTGGTCCAGAGAGGGCCAGACACCCTGAGGCACCCCTGCTATTGTGGAGTGTCTGGGGAGGCAGCCAAGCTCTGCCATGCTATCCAGAGAGGCCTGAAAGTGTCACTGTGAATGGATGTGTGTTTGGGCGTGCAGCTGGGACAGTGCCTTCGCTTCTCTCCTGGGGGCTGTGTCGTCGTTGGGTAAACTGCGCTCAGTGCCTTCGCTTCTCTCCTGGGGGCTGTGTCATCACTGGATAAAACCAGAAATAACCCAGGGAGTGAGGAACCACAGTGCGGCCACCAGCACAGTGTGTCCCAGCTGCAGAGCAGGAGTTAGGCTCTCCATCTCTTGCTTGAACCTGCAGTTCAAGTGTTGATGCCTGCCTGGCAGCCTGACTGCAGCAGGCAGGACAGGACAGGCTTGTGTTCAATGTATTTTACGTCCTGATGGATGAGGGCATGCACTCAAGTTGGGGGAGCTCGCTGTCCTATCTCCCAAACCTAGAGTATGTTCACCTTGTATATGTGAACTCAGAATACTTTCCAGGGATGGATGCACATTCAGAAGCCCTGAATTAAACAGGCTGTTTGGACATATCTTCGTAATGGCTATCATTTTTCCTTTCTTAATGCTACTTTATATCAGCATGTGCATGCATTGAATCTCTTAGGGTGATACTTCGGCTACCTGCACAGTTGATAGGCAGAAGCTGATCACTCATTTAGGCTGCCCGAGTTGCTCTTTGCAAAGAGAGGTATCTACCTTTCCTTCGGTGGTAGCCTGGTCTCTGCACTAGCTGCAAAAAATGTTTGTGCATCTAGTCTGCATTATTACTAGCAGAACAGGCATCTACTTTTGCGAGGATATATAATCTGAGCATCAAGGGAATTGTCTTTAATTCAGTCTTTTTTGATTAGTCACAAGGCACATTTTTGATTCATACTTTCCAGCAGAACTACTAATTGTTACAAAGAGGTGGCAGCCAGGAGTTGCCAAGGCATCTGGAACCCCAGTGACACACTTTTGCACCATCCTGACCACGTTTACCAGCATTATAGAAGTAAAGAGACAAAAAGAAGAAATTTTGTGTACCTCCTCTCTAATAAAATAATATTAGCTCTACCTAGTCCATTATTAGGTCTTGGAGTTTAGTGCAAATCAGCTGAGCAGCACATGAAGACTAAGTTCTTCATTGTTCTCTGGACAGCATCACTGAGAGGTGCTTGGTGTGGCCGTCATTAGAAAGTGAACAGCTCAACAGTGACCGTTCTTTCCCAATATCAACCAGTGTGTGAGCTGGCACACGGGCCACGCTGCCCAAAGAGGCTTTACAAGTTACTGCTATGAACCACAAAATGTTTTTGATCAGAACACTGGTTTTCTAAAGGGACCATTCTGGATGAAAGTATGGTAAGAAATGCAATACTTTCTACATTGTATTAAAAATAACCTGCAGCATTGGATGCAGAGCTTCATTTATTTATCTTGGATTTGACAGCCTCCCCTATTGACAGAACAATGCAGAGTTGCTAACTGGAGAAAATGAGGAAAATTCATACTTCACTGCAATTCCTAAGATATGACGTTATGCTGAAAAATAAACAAAGAAAAATAATTTATAGACTACCAAAGATAAGAATAGATTAACAGTACAAAAAAAAATTTCATACATATATTTCATGCTTGTACGTAACACAAAAATAAAACATTATTATTGTAATTAACATGCACTTTTTATTTCATCAGAAAACTATTGCTTTATAACACATGCCTGAAAAAAGAGATCTTAATATTACACTTTTAATGGAGAATTAATATTGCCAAGTAACAAATATAAGTATGTTATGGCATTTCTCAAACTCAGGTACACGTATGCATAAAATATATGTAGTGTTAATACTCTGGGAATTGTAAATCTTCCTAGCATGTGATATTCCTGTCAGTTGTAGAAAAAATCATGCATCACTCAAGCCCTGCATAAAATGGAATTACTTATCAGTAAGATATTATTGCTAAATAATCATAACAAATATTATTGCTAAATAATAACAAAAAATATTCTGATATATTGACTAGTTCTGTCAATATGGAAGCCACTATAGGTCAGTGGGATATATGCATCTCTTACAAGTTTCAAACCCGTTTTTCCTTACTGAGGTCCCACTAGGCCTTTGCCATTTGTATGTTGATGTTTCACTGGTTTCCTGACAGATCATCTGCTGTCTGTCACACACATAGTATCAGGCACAATTTATATGTGCAGATGAGTGGTACTCTGCCGTTCTGCAGGCAACTTTTCATTTTCTGCTCTGCAGAAGCCTTCCCCACCCTGCTCATTTGCATTCACTGGATTTATTTCCTTAAATGAAATGCTCAGTTCTTAAAAATGCATCATATGTTAAAAATTAACACATGCATTTGGTATGGAGCTTGGAGCTGCTTTTCATTTTTGGTAAAATCGTACATTCTCTGTTTGCACCCATTTTAAAATCTGGGTTGGCCCAAAGGAGTCTAAAATACCACAGCCAGGCTGCCGAGCCGCAGAAGTGCTACCTCTAGGATGTCCAGAGTATCCTCTGTAATCGTCTTCCGACGGGGGATCCTGGGTCTGAATGGTATGATGTAAAAGGGATGCAAAACAGGCTGCCAGACCCCACGAAGTGGTGACTAGAGAATAGTTAGCTTTACGGTGTTTTGGTGTCCGGCTCTCCCTTCTCACTGTGTTAGGCTGCTTCCTGGCCATATATTCTGTTGTCTGTAAGGGGGTATAAAATTTTAGGAGCGTACTAGACTTCTTACACATCAACAATTAAGTACCTACTCAGAACAGAAATGCCCTCACTCTGCTGGGACTCTCCTTAGATATACTTTGGCTGTAATTGCCCTACATTAAATCTCAAAACATAACAGT